AGATAAAGAGTGATGAGAGAGTGCAAAAGGAGAGCAGATGATAGAGTGGGAGAGGCACTGTCAAGAAATTTTAATGAAAATAAGAAAAAATTTTGGAGTGAGTTAAACAAGAAAGCCTAGAGAATGAATGGATTTGATAGTTAAAAACAGAGTAGGGGAATTAGTAGATGGGGAGATGGACGTTTTGGGTAGATGGCGAGAATGTTTTGAGGAACTTCTAAATGTCGACGAAGAAAGGGAAGCGGTAATTTCATGCACTGGCCAGGAGGTATACCATCTTTCAGAGTGAAGAACAGGATGTGAGTGTGAGGGAGGTGCATGAGGCATTATGTAGAATGAAAGGGGGTAAAGCAGCTGGAACTGAGGGGGATATAGTGTTGGAGTGGTTGGTATTTTTGTTTAATAAATGTATGAAAGAGGGGAATGTACCTAGGGATTGGCAGAGAGTATGTAGAGTCCCTTTATATAAAGGGAAGGGGGACAAAAGAGATTGTAAAAATTATAGAGGAATAAGTTTACTGAGTATACCAGGAAAAGTGTATGGTAGGGTTATAATTGAAAGAATTAGAGGCAAGACAGAATGTAGGATTGCGGATGAGCAAGGACGTTTCAGAGTGGGTAGGGGATGTGTAGATCAAGTGTTTACATTGAATCATATATGTGAACAGGATTTAGATAAAGGTAGGGAAGTTTTTATTGCATTTATGGATTTAGAAAAGGTATATGATAGAGTGGATAGGGAAGCAATGTGGCAGATGTTGCAAGTATATGGAATAGGTCGTAAGTTACTAAATGCTGTAAAAAGTTTTTATGAGGATAGTGAGGCTCAGGTTAGGGTGTGTAAAAGAGAGGGAGACTACTTCCCAGTAAAAGTAGGTCTTAGACAGGGATGTGTAATGTCACCATGGTTGTTTAATATATTTATAGATGGGGTTGTAAAAGAAGTAAATGCTAGGGTGTTCGAGAGAGGGGTGGGCTTAAATTATGGGGAATCAAATACAAAATGGGAATTGACACAGTTGCTTTTTGCTGATGACACTGTGCTTATGGGAGATTCTAAAGAAAAATTGCAAAGGTTAGTGGATGAGTTTGGGAGTGTGTGTAAAGGTAGAAAGTTGAAAGTGAACATAGAAAAGAGTAAGGTGATGAGAGAATCAAATGATTTAGATAAAGAAAAATTGGATATCAGATTGGCTAGGAGGAGTATGGAAGAAGTGAATGTTTTCAGATACTTGGGAGTTGACGCGTCAGCGGATGGATTTATGAAGGATGAGGTTAATCATAGAATTGATGAGGGAAAAAAGGTGAGTGGTGCGTTGAGGTATATGTGGAGACAAAAAACGTTATCTGTGGAGGCAAAGAAGGGAATATATGAAAGTATAGTAGTACCAGCACTCTTACATGGGTGTGAAGCTTGGGTTGTGAATGCAGCAGCGAGGAGGCGGTTGGAGGCAGTGGAGATGTCCTGTCTAAGGGCAATGTGTGGTGTAAATATGCAGAAAATTCGGAGTGTGGCAATTGGAGAAGGTGTGGAGTTAATAAAAGTATTAGTCAGAGGGCTGAAGAGGGGTTGTTGAGGTGGTTTGGTCATTTAGAGAGAATGGATCAAAGTAGAATGACATGGAGAGTGTATAAGTCTGTAGGGAAAGGAAGGCGGGGTAGTGGTCATCCTCGAAAAGGTTGGAAGGAAGGGGTAAGGGAGGTTTTGTGGGCGAGGGGCTTGGGCTTGCAGCAGGCGTGCATGAGCGTGTTCGATAGGAGTGAATGGAGACGAATGGTATTTGGGACCTCATGATCTGTTGGAGTGTGAGCAGGGTAATATTTAGTGAAGGGATTCAGGGAAACCGGTTATTTTGATATAGCCGGACTTGAGTCCTGGAAATGGGAAGTACAATGCCTGCACTCTAAAGGAGGGGTTTTTGGGATATTAGCAGTTTGGAGGGCTATGTTGTGTATCTTTATACATATATGCTTCTAAACAGTTGCGTTCTGAGCACCTCTGCAAAAACAGTGATTATGTGTTGGTGAGGTGAAAGTGTTGAATGATGATGAAAGTATGTATTTTCTTTTTGGGTCACCCTGCCTTGGTAGGAGACGGCCGACTTGTTAAAAAAAAAAAATCGGTGTCTCAATTAAAGCTGGAGTGTCTCGTGGAATGCCGCACTGTCTTCCACCGAGATTGTTCAGCTTACACTCACACAATTACACTACACAGTTCAGTCCAAGATTTGTCTTTAGTTTCATGGTAATATCACAACAGGAAGACTGGTTACACTTCACTGTAATAGTTCTCCCGTGAATTTCTGAGATTGTCAAATGAACAAGAGTTGAAAATGCACTGATCACCATTGTCCCAGGGCAATGCTCACGTGGCACACGTTTCCCCTTCCGTTTCGTGAAGCAATCTGACAGCGTAGCACTCTCAGTCCTCATTCTTGCCCTCCTTACAAAGGATTTGCTGAATTCAGTGTTATTACTCTTCCTTGTTAAACACTGCAACTGTATTCAATACAAGATAGCAAATTTCTTGTTATCTATTGATAGACGACAATTTATGATAGCCTCAACTTGTAAATAAAGTGGGTGCAGGTATTTCCTTAATTTTCCTGCTAAGGTAAAGAGAGCAGTTACTCTGATTTAACCCACACTATGGTTGCAATGCTGATTTCTTGCAAGGGGAGTGGCGTGACTATGACTAGTACCCGCATATGCTTTCAATCAAACTGTTGATTATGAACAGGAGGGCTGAGTCCCTCAAGTCCCTCAGGGGGCTGAGAGGGCTGATATTCCCTTTCTGGAGAATTTTCTCCACAGTAATGTGAGTGTGATAAAAAGTACCCACATTTTAAAGTAGAGCATTCCCTTAATTTCACTGTAGCAGTGCTTTATTGGTTCGTTTTGGTAACCATAGATAGCAGGTAATTAACGATTTTCTCATTGCATGGATGACTCAGAGACTGATGACGCCTTAATGGAATGTATTTTATAGTACTGATATTAATTTGCTATGAATTTAACAGAATTTAACAGAAAGAGAGGCAGTAATTTCATGCACTGGTCAGGGAGGTATACCATCTTTTAGGAGTGAAGAAGAGCAGAATGTAAGTGTGGGGGAGGTACGTGAGGCATTACGTAGAATGAAAGGGGGTAAAGCAGCTGGAACTGATGGGATCATGACAGAAATGTTAAAAGCAGGGGGGATATAGTGTTGGAGTGGTTGGTACTTTTGTTTAATAAATGTATGAAAGAGGGGAAGGTACCTAGGGTTTGGCAGAGAGCATGTATAGTCCCTTTATATAAAGGGAAAGGGGACAAAAGAGACTGTAAAAATTATAGAGGAATAAGTTTACTGAGTATACCAGGAAAAGTGTACAGTAGGGTTATAATTGAAAGACTTAGAGGTAAGACAGAATGTAGGATTGTGGATGAGCAAGGAGGTTTCAGAGTAGGTAGGGGATGTGTAGATCAAGTGTCTACATTGGAGCATATATGTGAACAGTATTTAGATAAAGGTAGGGAAGTTTTTATTGCATTTATGGATTTAGAAAAGGCATATGATAGAGTGGATAGAGGAGCAATGTGGCAGATGTTGCAAGTATATGGAATAGGCGGTAAGTTATTAAATGCTGTAAAGAGTTTTTATGAGGATAGTGAGGCTCAGGTTAGGGTGTGTAGAAGAGAGGGAGACTACTTCCGGTAAAAGTAGGTCTTAGACAGGGATGTGTAATGTCACCATGGTTGTTTAATATATTTATAGATGGGGTTGTCAAGGAAGTAAATCCTAGGGTGTTCGGGAGAGGGGTGGGATTAAATTTTGGGGAATCAAATTCAAAATGGGAATTGACACAGTTACTTTTTGCTGATGATACTGTGCTTATGGGAGATTCTAAAGAAAAATTGCAAAGGTTAGTGGATGAGTTTGGGAATGTGTGTAAAGGTAGAAAGTTGAAAGTGAATATAGAAAAGAGTAAGGTGATGAGGGTGTCAAATGATTTAGATAAAAAAAAATTGGATATCAAATTGGGGAGGAGGAATATGGAAGAAGTGAATGTTTTCAGATACTTGGGAGTTGATGTGTCGGCGGATGGATTTATGAAGGATGAGGTTAATCATTGAATTGGTGAGGAAAAAATGGTGAGTGGTGCGTTGAGGTATATGTGGAGTCAAAAAACGTTATCTATGGAGGCAATGAAAGGAATGTATGAAAGTATAGTAGTACCAACACTCTTATATGGGTGTGAAGCTTGAGTGGTAAATGCAGCAGCGAGGAGACGGTTGGAGGCAGTGGAGATGTCCTGTTTAAGGGCAGTGTGTGGTGTAAATATTATGCAGAAAATTCGGAGTGTGGAAATTAGGAAAAGGTGTGGAGTTAATAAAAGTATTAGTCAGAGGGCAGAAGAGGGATTGTTGAGGTGGTTTGGTCATTTAGAGAGAATGGATCAAAGTAGAATGACATGGAAAGCATATAAATCTATAGGGGGAGGAAGGCGGGGTAGGGGTCGTCCTCGAAAGGGTTGGAGAGAGGGGGTAAAGGAGATTTTGTGGGCAAGGGGCTTGGACTTCCAGCAAGCGTGCGTGAGCGTGTTAGATAGGAGTGAATGGAGACGAATGGTACTTGGGACCTGACGATCTGTTGGAGTTTGAGCAGGGTAATATTTAGTGAAGGGATTCAGGGAAACCGGTTATTTTCATATAGTCGGACTTGAGTCCTGGAAATGGGAAGTACAATGCCTGCACTTTAAAGGAGGGGTTTGGGATATTGGCAGTTTGGAGGGATATGTTGTGTATCTTTATATGTGTGTGCTTCTAAACTGTTGTATTCTGAGCACCTCTGCAAAAACAGTGATAATGTGTGAGTGTGGTGAAAGTGTTGAATGATGATGAAAGTATTTTCTTTTTGGGGATTTTCTTTCTTTTTTGGGTCACCCTGCCTCGGTGGGAGACGGCCGACTTGTTGAAAAAAAAAAAAAAAGAATTTAACATTTGATATTTTGTCACAGGCGGAGAACTCTCAAAAGCAGTTGGAAGCATTAGAACCATCACACACACAACAGTTGTCTACATCCCAGTCATCTCCAACTGTATTAATTGTGCCACCACCAGCGATCTCTATCCAATGTATCTACTTGCTCGTCAGAGAGTGATTCAATATTTCTTGACCAGCCAACAACATACTCACATTACCTTAAAGAAGCTCAGATGAGAATTGCAGGTAGTACCGCTGCTTGTGCTCATTGGACGTGGAAATATGATGGCCTTAACCCACCACCTACTCAAGCTATGGAGATGTTGGATGCTGCTCGTCTCAACCCTCCCATGTTATATCCTAAGCCTCGTGCTCACTCTAATCCCACGAATATAGAGTCATCAGAGTTAGCACTGGCTGAGGCCAGAACTCGTAGTACCAGTTTACCATCAGATGCCAGAACTAGTAAAAGTGAAGTAAAACCAGTGCTCAATGGTATTTGTGATATTGAACATAATATGAAAAGATCAGCTCATCCTGGAGCTTTTGGAGGGAGAGGAGGAGAAAGGATAGTGGGCCAAGGTGGAGAAGAAGATAATCTTGACTCACTTGGAGAGAGCAGTGGCTATGAAAGTTTTAATATCAGAGCATCAAGGGATTCATCTCCAGTCAATAGTTCAGATGGGTCACCTAGAGGTCAAGCTCAGAACTTCTCTGGCATCAGTGTATCTGTAGAGAAGCAGGATTTGTGTGCGACAAATGAAGACCAGGAATTTATTGATTCTCTACAAAGATCATCAACTCCAACAGAGCTCTCTGGGCTTGAGGAAACACTTTGTGAAATTGATCAAGCTTTTACTGCCTTTAAAATATATGATGTTAGCTCATCTAAGTCTTATAATAAGGTAAGATTTTTTATTCTTTCACTTCAGATATTTTATTTGTTAAAGATTTTAATACAGATTATGGAGCACTAACTGCAAACATCAGTATATATTTTGCTATTAATTTCTCATTTTGTGGTTAAAATGAACTTTTAAAAAGTAGCTTTTACAAAAAAAAAAAAAAGGCTGCAGTATTATCATCATCAATTATTTTTAACTTTTTTATGGGGCAATTATATACATACTTTACTGAAAGTATTAAAATAAGGTAATGCATTCAATTAATTAAGAATAAGCAAGAATATTGCTAATATCTCTACAATAAGCATTAAGAAACCCTTAAGAGAAATTGTGCTTAACATTAAAAGTTTCATAAATAACAAAAAAGGCACAATACCGTGACTGGAACGATACACAAATAACCCGCACATAAAAGAGAGAAGCTTACGACGACGTTTCGGTCCGATTTGGACCATTGACAAAGTCACACTACCCAGAAGTGGAGCAGGACAGCTATATATAGGCAGGAAGAGGTGGTGGTAGTAGTAGTAGTAGTAGTACAAGAATACTATACAATACTGACAAGATGAAATTAAGACAGCTCAACACCCGGGCATCCCTATCGCAGACGTTTCGCCATCCAGCCAGCCACTGGATGGCGAAACGTCCATAACAAAGACAGCCAGACGTCGCACATGTGTCTTAATTTCATCAGTGGTTGTAGTAGTAGTAGTAGAAGAGGTAGTAGTAGTGGTAGTGGTAGAAGTGGGAAATAAGGATGACGAGCCAGTCAAATACAAAGGAAGGGGAGCACTGCAAGAGAGCTAGGTGCCCACTGAGGGCCCTCTTCCCCTTTCCTCTTTCCTTTTCTCCTCTGGGTTGTCTTTCTCTCTTCTGTCTCGTGTTTCTGTTCCTTCTTCATTTATTTCACCACTTCCCCTTTCACGCACCTCTGTGCACTTGCTCTCCCTCAGTGGGCACCTAGCTCTCTTGCAGTGCTCCCCTTCCTTTGTATTTGACTGGCTCGTCCTCTTTTTTCCCCACTTCTACCACTACCACTACTACTACCTCTTCTACTATTACTACTACTACTACTACTACAACTACTGATGAAATTAAGACACATGTGCGACGTCTGGCTGTCTTTGTTGTGGACGTTTCGCCATCCAGTGGCTGGCTGGATGGCGAAACGTCTGCGATAGGGATGCCCGGGTGTTGCGTGTGTCTTAATTTCATCTTGTCGGTATTATATACTATTCTTGTACTACTACTACTACTACTACTACTACCACCACCACCTCTTCCTGCCTATATATAGCCGTCCTGCTCCACTTCTGGTTAGTGTGACTTTGTCAATGGTCCAAGTCGGACCGAAACGTCGTCGTAAGCTTCTCTCGTTTATGTGCGGGTTATTTGTGTATTAAAAATTTCCCTGTATTTGAACATCCTTACTTGGTTATTGGACATGTACATGTTTTTCTTAACTTGATTTTAGACAGTCATCTGTTAAATTATATAAAATATAACCGGACTTGAGTCCTGGAAATGGGAAGTACAATGCCTGCACTCTAAAGGAGGGGTTTGGGATATTGGCAGTTTGGAGAGATATGTTGTGTATTTTTATACGTATATACTTCTAAACTGTTGTATTCTGGGCACCTCTGCAAAAACAGTGATTATGTGTGAGTGAGGTGAAAGTGTTGAATGATGAAAGTATTTTCTTTTTGGGGTTTTTTCTTTCTCTTTGGGTCACCCTGCCTTGGTGGGAGACGGCCGACTTGTTGAAAAAAAAGAAATGATAAATTAACATTTTCCACCTTGGCCTTCTTATTCTATGATTATGCCTACATTTCATCAGTGCTTACTAACACTAGTGTATTATTTCAACTCCCAAATGATATGGTTGTATCAAAATTGGATGAACACTGTTTTAATGTTACAGTATGTATACTTCAGGCATTTTGATAATTTGATTTATCACCACTCATCACTTGAGTCATTTCCTTCACCATTTGGTTTCAGGACTTCTTTATCAGTATCTGCATCACTTAGTTTTCTGTGTACAAGAGCATTTGTTTTGAATATTTTATGCCAAGTGTTTTTCACGCATTTTATTAATCACATCCATAACACTAAGTCTTAATTTCTCCTTGATCCATGAGCTGAATAAAGAACATTCTGAGCTACATGTTATAAAACCCGTAACTAGTCGTTTGGCAGGTGGATAAGCAGAAGGGCATTTAGCAAGGAGCGTCAAAATATTTAGGGTTTGACAATGACCTGCTGAGCATGAGACAGTAGATCTACTGCATTGGGAGCTACATGCTTTTTGCATTGATCCCTGGCCTCTTCATTGTTTATGGCTTAGCAGTCTTGATGATGACTTAAGATATTACAGGTGTGTGCTCCAGCTGCATTACCACAGATCATAGTAGCTAATCTTTTTTCACATTCTTTAAGCTAAGTCACAGTTTTCTCATTGCAATAAATAAGAGAACAACTTTTACCTAATGAGCTGTGTTTTTCAGGTGTATCGACTTGAAATAACAGGAGAGGAAGGAGATTGGGACAATCCACCATGGCACAGCCATGAATCATCTCCAGAAATAGTAGAAAAGACAACAGCTTCAGAGTCACAGTCACAATCACGACCAACAATAGGTAAAAACTAAAAAAAATTAAGTGTAGAAGAGATCTGTCTTTCTTGTTGTTGATCTTTCTTTCTTTGGCGTGGGAAATGTTCTTGAAATTTAAAAAAAAGAATTATTGGAAATTCAACTGTCTATGCAGTTAATGGGTTGTCAGTATTGTAAATCATTTTGAATTCAATAAAGACAACAATGAGTTGTGATTCAATATGTTTGTGTTATGAATTTTTTCCTATCCATTTATTTATGTTCATGTACATGTTTTCACATGCATTACGGTACAGTATATACATACATGTATATCTAATGTAACCTAATGTATTCTAAATATGTAATAAGTGAAATGTAGCTAACGAGGGATTACCAAACAGAAATCTTTTGTTTGTTTACAGTAGTGTGGAAGCTTGTAAAATTAGATGCACTTCATAATATTGTGCAGTTTCTATCATTAATGTTTTTTGTTGGCTGTAAGTAACTGTAAGAATATGAAGCAAGTGAAAGCTCTTTTAAGCATTAAACAAGGTGGCTAGAAAGATTTATTGAACTTATAAAATTTGGCAAGTTACCACTATAACATGAAGTAGCCAGATGCAGTAAAAATACAGTGGACCCTCAACTAACGCTATTAATCCGTTCCTGAGAGCTCATCGTTAGTCAAAATAATCGTTAGTCAAGTTAATTTTCCCCATAAGAAATAATGGAAATAAAATTAATCCGTGCAAGACACCCAAAAGTATTGAAAAAAAAAAATTTAACACATGAAATATTAATTTTAATACACACAAACTGAAGAAGACATGCACAGTTACATGACACTTACCTTTATTGAAGATCTGGTGATGATTGATGGGATGGGAAGAGGGGAGTGTGTTGATGGTCTTAGTGTTTAGAAGGGGAATCCCCTTCCATAGGACTTGAGGTGGCAAGTCCTTTTTCGGGGTTACTTCCCTTCTTCTTTAATGCCACTAGGACCAGCTTGAGAGTCACTGGACCTCTGTCGCACAACATATCTGCCCATAGAGGCCTGTACCTCCCGTTCCTTTATGACATTCCTAAAGTGTTTCACAACATTGTCAGTGTCACCATTAAACACTTGTTCAGGTTTCAGTCCTTCACTGTCTATGTACTCCTTGAATTCCTGCACATATTTTTCAGCTGCTTTTTGGTCCAAACTGGCAGCCTCACCATGCCTTATCACACTATGTGTGCCACTACGATTCTTAAATCTCTCAAACCAACCTTTGCTGGCCTTAAGTTCACTCACATCACCACTAGTTGCTGGCATTTTTCTAATTAAATCGTCATGCAACTTCCTAGCCTTTTCACATATGATTGCTTGAGAGATGCTATCTCCTGCTATCTGTTTTTCGTTTATCCATACCAATAACAGTCTCTCAACATCTTCTATCACTTGCGATCTCAGTTTCGAAAACATAGTTGCACCTTTGGCAAGAACAGCTTCCTTGATTGCCGTTTTCTTGGGCACAATAATAGCGATGGTTGATTGGGGTTTTGTGTACAGCCTGGCCAGCTCGGAGACATGCACTCAACTTTCATACTTAGCAATGATCTCTTTCTTCATATCCATAGTAATTCTCACCCTTTTTGCTGTAGGGTTGGCACTAGAAGCTTTCTTGGGGTCCATGGTGACTTATTTTGCAGGTGCAATCACTAAAAAGGCTGTGATAATATGAAATGTTCCGATTGTAAGCTTGGAAGCGACCGCGGTGGCTGGCTGGCTTGTAAACACTGGCCAGAAGTGGACGCGTCTCAGACGGAACGAATAGTGTTGGTCGAGTTTTTTAGCGCTAATCGAGGCAAAATTTTTGCGATAAAATGTATCGCTAGTCAGATTTATCATTAATCGATGCCATCGCTGGTCGAGGGTCCACTGTATTAGGCTAATTGAACAAGCAATATTCCCTGTCAGTTGTTCAAATTAAATTTTTTAGAAAAATAGAAAACTTAAATGTTGAGCTCTCCTACAGAATAAACATAATATGCTAAAAAAATTTTGCTTTATTTATTTATTTTTTATTATGGGCAGGTCCATTCTTGGAGGCGCTGATGTTACGAATAGATCAGATGCTATCCTCTAGCATTCATGTCAACCTTCTGACCACCACAATAATGAGTCGTCTGGCCATTTATCCAACGCCTCTCTTGTCTTCGTTGTTACTTGATACATCCATTGTCTTCCAGCCATCTGTTCGATCACTAGTACAGGTTTGTAAATGCATTCAAATTACAAGTAATTTTGAATTCCAGATTGTATATAGGTACTATTCAACTCAGGACTGAGCTTGGTTTCGACCAGCCAGTAATAAGTCAAAATGGATGTAGGTCGAACCTTAGAAAATTGCCGATAGGGAGATTTCAGAAATTAAATCTTATTCTTGTAAAGCAATCATTCTTTTATGTTGTGGAAATCACTTCAATTCGTTCATTATTATTGATTGGTTTTCACAAAATAGGTGAATAACTTTCTTCCGAGATAATATTCGAAAGCACGAGCATACCCGAGTACTTGGGAAATATTTTTTCCTGAAAAAATCAATTTTTTTTTTTCAGTGTTTTCATAAGCTACAAGTGTCTATTACAGTTTGCCCTCATGCTACATCCATTTTCTCTCATAAGAGTGACGAAAGAAGGGATAATAAGCCTTAAGGTCGGTGGTGTCCACAAAGTATTTATAGGTCCCAGCAATGTTTTAGACATGCTGGGGTGACACTTGATGATTCTGCACTGCCTAGGATTTGTTTATTTTCACTGTTACATATAACATGTTCATCTGTTTGTGTATTTGTCTATCTATTTGTATGTCTGTCTGTCTAGCACTCTTTCTATCTCTGTCTCTGCTTATCTGTCTTTCTGTCTGCCTGTATGTCTATCTTCTTGTCTCTCTCTGCTTGTCTTCCTTTCTGTCTCAGAACCAACAGGTATTACACACGATGCAGAGTTATCACATCTGATTTCTGAACAAGTGAAAATGCGTATTACGTACTTGCCAGTCATGCTTATTATGCCTTATGTCACCCTGCCTCGGTGGGAGACGGCCGACTTGTTGAAAAAAAAAAAAAAAAAAAAAATCTACAAGCCATAGTATAGCACTTGTTCTGGGTTTTTTGGGTTATCCTAGGTAATTTACACTATGTATAATAACTATTTATGTGTATCTGTGAGATAGAGACAGAGATAGACACAGACAGAGATGCAGAGACAGGCAGAGATTCAGAGACAGTCAAAGATAGATACAGACGGAGATAGAGACAACCAAAGTCAATCAGCCTCCTGGCCAGCCAGCTAGCCACCCGACCAGCTGCAGTGTTCCTCTTTTCTTATGCTCTTATGTAATAGAGAAGGAGCACTGAAACATTCCTTCTCAAATCCATCCATCCATATACATTTGTCCAACCTATTTTTTATGCTACCCAAACCATAGCTTTTGTAACCTTTCTTTCTCATGTACCAGCTGACTTTTTCACCACATGTATAACTACTACTACTACTATCTCTACTTGTGTGGGCGAAACATTGTCAATAGGGGATCACATTATACTTGTACATTTGACCGCAGAAAAGAAGAAGAACAAGAACTATAAAGAACATAGAATAGAACCCAGAGGGGTGTGTAAATATATATGCATGTTATGCAAATATTACAGACCAAGCAATACAGGATGCAAAACAACCACAAGGGGAGTAGAATGATAGCTCAAGGCCTTTTGTGTTGCAATCAGCACATCATCAGGAGCTTGCAGAGTTGCAGAAAAAAGGAGGATGTCTGAGCTAATATGCTCCCAGAAGATGTATTCACTGGAGGGAGGGAGGGGGGGAGAGAGAGAGAGAGACGGGGGGCGACAGGAAATGCCCCCAGGCATACCAGTATCCATAGCCAGAAAGGTTGAATATTATAGCATTAGAAAAAACTCCACAAGTGCTGATATTGTAATAGTAGCCTAAATGAAAGTAACATGGCAATTATAAAAAATTCCGTCAGACTCTGCTATGATATAAGTAAAAATGTTGTGGAGGGAGTAGTAGGTAAATTTGGGGTACCAGGGGTAAATGAAAATGGGGAGCCTTTAATTGAGCTATGTGTAGAAAGAGGTTTGGTAATAAGTAATACATATTTTATGAAAAAGAGGATAAATAAATATACAAGGTGTGATGTAGCATGTAATGAAAGTAGTTTGTTAGATTATGTATTGGTGGATAAAAGGTTGATGGGTAGGCTCCAGGATGTACACGTTCATAGAGGGGCAACTGATATATCGGATCATTACCTAGTTGTAGCTACAGTTAGAGTAAGAGGTAGATGGGATAAGAGGAAAATGGCAACAAGAAGTAAGAGGGAGGTGAAAGTGTATAAACTAAGGGAGGAGGAAGTTCGGGTGAAATATAAGCAACTATTGGCAGAAAGGTGGGCTGGTGCAGGTATGAGTAGTGGGGGGGTTGAAGAGGGTTGGAATAGTTTTAAAAATACAGTATTAGAATGTGGGGCAGAAGTTTGTGGTTATAGGAGGGTGGGTACAGGAGGAAAGAGGAGTCATTGGTGGAATGATGAAGTAAAGGGTGTGATAAAAGAGAAAAAGGTAGCTTATGAGAGGTTTTTACAAAGCAGAAGTGTTATAAGAAGAGCAGAGTATATGGAGAGTAAAAGAAAGGTGAAGAGAGTGCAAAAGGAGAGCGGATGATAGAGTGGGAGAGGTACTGTCAAGAAATTTTAATGAAAATAAGAAAGAATTTTGGAGTGAGTTAAACAAGTTAAGAAAGCCTAGGGAACAAATGGATTTGTCAGTTAAAAACAGAGTAGGGGAGTTAGTAGATGGGGAAATGGAGGTTTTGGGTAGATGGCGAGAATATTTTGAGGAACATTTAAATGTCGACGAAGAAAGGGAGGTGGTAATTTCATGCACTGGCCAGGGAGGTATACCATCTTTTAGGAGTGAAGAAGAGCAGGATGTGAGTGTGGGGGAGGTGCGTGAGGCATTACGTAGAATGAAGGGGTAAAGCAGCTGGAACTGACGGGATCATGACAGAAATGTTAAAAGCAGGGGGGGACATAGTGTTGGAATGGTTGGTATTTTTGTTTAATAAATGTATGAAAGTGGGGTAGGTACCTAGGGATTGGCGGAGAGCGTGTATAGTCCCTTGATATAAAGGGAAGGGGGACAAAAGAGATTGTAAAAATTATAGAAGAAGAAGTTTACTGAGTATACCAGGAAAAGTGTACGGTAGGGTTATTATTGAAAGAATTAGAGGTAAGACAGAATGTAGAATTGCGGAAGAGCAAGGAGGTTTTAGAGTGGGTAGGGGATGTGTAGATTAAGTGTTTACATTGAAGCATATATGTGAGCAGTATTTAGATAAAGGTAGGGAAGTTTTTATTGCATTTATGGACTTAGAAAAGGCATATGATAGAGTGGATAGGGAAGCAATGTGGCAGATGTTGCAAGTATATGGAATAGGTGGTAAGTTACTAAATGCTGTAAAGAGTTTTTATGAGGATAGTGAGGCTCAGGTTAGGGTGTGTAGAAGAGAGGGAGACTACTTCCCGGTAAAAGTAGGTCTTAGACAGGGATGTGTAATGTCACCATGGTTGTTTAATATATTTATAGATGGGTTTGTAAAAGAAGTAAATGCTACGGTGTTCAGGAGAGGGGTGGGATTAAATTATGGGGAATTAAATACAAAATGGGAAGTGTCACAGTTACTTTTTGCTAATGATACTGTGTTTATGGGAGATTCTAAAGAAAAATTGCAAAGGTTAGTGGACGAATTTGGGAGTGTGTGTAAAGGTAGAAAGTTGAAAGTGAACATAGAAAAAGAGTAAGGTGATGAGGGTATCAAATGATTTAGATAAAGAAAAATTGGATATCAAATTGGGGAGGAGAAGTGTGGAAGAAGTGAATGTTTTCAGATATTTGGGAGCTGACGTGTCAGCGGATGGATTTATGAAGGATGAGGTTAATCATAGAATTGATGAAGGAAAAAAGGTGAGTGGTGCATTGAGGTATATGTGGAAGCAAAAAATTTTATCTATGGAGGCAAAGAAGGGAATGTATGAAAGTATAGTAGTACCAACACTCTTATATGGGTGTGAAGCTTGGGTTGTAAATGCTGCAGCGAGGAGGCAGTTGGAGGCAGTGGAGATGTCCTGTCTAAGGGCAATGTGTGGTGTAAATATTATGCAGAAAATTCGGAGTGTGGAAATTAGGAGAAGGTGTGGAGTTAATAAAAATATTAGTCAGAGGGCTGAAGAAGGGTTGTTGAGGTGGTTTGGTCATTTGGAGAGAATGGATCAAAGTAGAATGACATGGAGAGCGTATAAATCTGTAGGGGAAGGAAGGCGGGGTAGCGGTCGTCCTCGGAAAGGTTGGAGGGAGGGGGTACAGGAGGTGTTGTGGGCAAGGGGTTTGAACTTCCAGCAAGCATGGGTGAGCGTGTTAGATAGGAGTGAATGGAGACGAATGGTATTTGGGACCTGACGGGCTGTTGGAGTGTGAGCAGGGTAATATTTAGTGAAGGGATTCAAGGAAACCGGTTATTTTATATATCCGGACTTGAGTCCTGGAAATGGGAAGTACAATGCCTGCACTCTAAAGGAGGGGTTTGAGATATTGGCAGTTTGGAGGGGTATATTCTGTATTTTTATACGTATATACAGTGGACCCCCGCATAACGTTGGCATCGCATAGTGTTAAATCCGCATAGCGATACATTTTATCGCTAAAATTTTGCGTCACATAGTGCTAAAAAATTCGCTCAACGCGATTCGTCCGAGACACGTCCATGCGGCCTGAGCCAGCCTCACTTGTTCTGCCAGTGGCATTGTTTACAAGCCAGCCTCCGCGGTAACATTCAAGCATACAATCGGAACATTTCGTATTATTACAGCCTTTTTATAGTGATTTCATTTGAAAAACAAGTGACCATGGGCTCCAAGAAAGCTTCTAGTGCCAACCCTACAGGAATAAGGGTGAGAATTACTATGGAGATGAAGAAAGAGATCATTGCTAAGTACGAAAGTGGAGTGCGTGTCTCCGAGCTGGCCAGGTTGTATAGTAAACCCCAATCAACCATCACTTCTATTGTGTCCAAGAGAACGGCAATCAAGGAAGCTGTTATTGCCAAAGGTTTAACTGTGCTTTTGAAACAAAGATCGCAAGTGATAGATGTTGAGAGACTGTTATTGGTGTGGATAAACGAAAAACAGATAGCAGGCGATAGCATCTCTCAAGCGATCAT